ACTTTTCGAGATCTACACTTTTAGTTTAGGAAGTTTTTCCATCCGAGGTCGTTTACAAAATTTGAATTTTAAATTTTGAAATTCAAACACAGTTTTGCATGACAAGATGTTTTCAAATCAAAAAGTTGTAAACTACAAAGTTTCATAACTTTTCGAGATCTACACTTTTAGTTTAGGAAGTTTTTCCATCCGAGGTCGTTTACAAAATTTGAATTTTAAAAATTTAAAATTCAAACACAGTTTTGCATGACAAGATGTTTTCAAATCAACAGGTTGTCAACTACAATGTTTCATAACTTTTCGAGATCTACATAGTTTATTTTGGTTGTTTTTTCATCCGAGGTCGTTTGAAAAGTTCGAATTTTAAAATTTTGAAATTCAAACGCAGTTTTGCATGACAAGATGTTTTCAAATCAAAAAGTTGCCAATTACAAAGTTTCATAACTTTTCGAGATCTACAAAGTTTATTTTGGTTGTTTTGTCATCTATTCATCCGACATGGTCGTTCTAACATTATTCACAAATCTTATATCTCTCTCTTGTAGTTTCATAAACTACAAGAGAGATATGTTAGATTTGTGAACAAATTTATTTTCACTTTGTCGTATGAAGAAAAGACCAAAACAAACATTGTACATCTTGATGAGTTATACAACTTTGTAGTTGAAAACTTTTTCATTTGAATTAATTTACTGCTTCAAAATGTGCTTTGAAATTTTCTTTGCCGAGTGTCAAAGAAAAAACACTCGGCAAATAAGCTCTTTGCCGAGTGTAAAAAAAACACTCGGCAAAGAGCCTCTTTGTCGAGTGTCAAAAAAAAACACTCGGCAAAGACGTATTTGCCGAGTGCCCGAAAAAGAACACTCGGCAAACCACCTGACACTCGGCAACTGGCCGGTTTCCGGTAGTGATTATAACATTCGTGTTTGCCCTTATTTATATGGCAGGACCAGATCGTGGTGTCAAAAAAAAAGACCAGATCGTGGAGACTAAACGGCCGCCAAGAATTCTTGCCTGAAATAAGGAGTTCGAAGCAAGACACACATCCCCTGGCATCTGCCTCTGGAAACATTGAGCGCGTTGGCGTCTGCAGGCTATGGCTGCACTAGTGTTGGCAACATTATTCAGCAGTTCATCGGCTGCAACCGCAGCCATAGCTGCAGCACAACCGAGCAACCCCGTTCCCACCGATCTTTTGCATAACGCACGCGAATGTGCATTGAATTGAACCCGAGACGTCCACCTTTGTGTGGTCATGGTATTTAGCTAGTGGGCTTGTCTCGAGATTCTTTACTACATTTTAGCGTATTTTTTCAATTCTCACAATTGATGTTTTGCGGTGGGCCACCTAAGCCGGTGACATACAAAAATACCCAAAAACGGAACGGCTAGCGCTTGGACGTTTGGCCACAGGACTTAACCGGACGCTGCTCCCGCATTGCATCCCACGCCCCCGCGCCCCTGCATCCCATCCAACGCCAGCGCCTGCGTCCTAACGCAGCACCCTTGACGACCCCCACCCCAACGCCAACACCAATGCCGATGTGAGATGGAGGGAAGGGAAGGGAGGGGAGGGAGAGGAGAGGAGAGGGCGAAATGAGCCGCATGAGGTAGGAGCCAAAACCCTGCCCAGACCTGCCCGTCAGCCACCGGCGTCATTGCCACAAGTGCAACATCCGATCTACTTTCACTATACCACAGCCAACAATCAGTGTCAGACAACGGTCGCTAAAACATAATATTAACGTCCAACTATTGGTCGGTATAAATTTATGACAGATCATCGGTCGCTATTTTCCCTTGTACCGACCAATTATTGGTTGCTACAAATATTTGGTTGTTTCATCGAACTATCGGTCAATAAAAGCACGTATTAGAGCCAAACATCCAGATGAAGCATTTGCAGCATAAGTCTGTGGAGAGATGAAACACTTGAAACATGCGTCTGAAACACTTACAAAAGCACCTGAAAACACATGAAAAGCCATTGCGAAAATATGCAACATCCAGATAAAATATTTTGTAACATATGTGTCAAAACATATATAATATCCAAAAAACACTAGCAACACAGTCTGAAAAAACAGATAAAACATTTGGAACATACAATTGCAACATACGTGTATAGCTATTGTAACATGTGCAACATCCCGATCTACTTTTACAACACCTAGATAAAATACATGCAACATCAAGATAAAACATCTGAAATACTTGAAACATACGCTTTCAACATGCGCTTTCAGCGCAATGTCACCTTGCAGCTTGGAGGAATGGAGGCTCGTCGTTGCAGAGCTCGATGTTGGCATGGAGGTCGGCGACGGCGCATGGACGCTGGTGCGGCAACGTCGTAGGAAACTCGCCAGAGGGACGGCGTCACGCGAAGCTCCTCCTTCGGTCAGGGGAATGGCGGTGTCGGCGGCACCTCAAAGCGGTAGGGGACAGGGCACGACGCAGCGTGACGTAGGGATGCGGGCGCCACGCGGCGGCGAGGCGGCTTGGGGCGGACAGACGGCGCAGTGAGCCACGACAAGCGAAGCGAGAGTCGGGAATTGGGGATTTCTGGGCCGTCGGAGTGTAGAGATCACCAGAGCATTATCGATCCAAAAACAAAAATGCATGACAAAATAAGCACGTGCCACGCAACGAGTAACTAAAGACTGCCTATACTCGAGGAGGCACGGGACTTCTGGAGTCGGGGACGGCCCGATCAAAATCTTGAAAGAGATTGTCGAGTGGTGGAGTGGTATTCATCAAGATTAAATGGGCCAGTATCCATTCATGGTGTGATCGACTGCTGACCAGCCCAACCAAACCCAAGCAAGGGAATCTATTCATGTTGTGAATTGATTATGGCCCAAAAATCCCAAACCAAACAGCACATTAGTTGAGCAATATGGTTTCTCTGAATATATACTGCCTTTCCTTCAACTAGGATACGTACGTAACGTATACAACCTGTGTAATGAAAATATTGGACCCCAGATATCGTTTCTTCCCAGGTGCTGCGTGATATACATGCATAAGCAACAAGCTTAACAGTATAGCACGTATACATGGCTGTGCACGCAGCACCTCCTCAACTTCCATGCTCATGAGTCATAAGTCAAAATGGCTGTGGGACCCGAATCGTGGAGTGTTATCTCGATCTGCAAATGGAGAATTACAGAGGGAGGGAAAACCCACGGAGGTATTTGGAGTCAAATCCAGACTCACGGAGCAGAGCAACCCGTCCTGTGCGTGCAACCTGCACAAGGCACGGGCAAAGAGTACAGCTAGTTATTGCGATACATTTCAAGCATCTCATCACACTTCAGCATTGGATCCAGAGTCCTCCAGACATAGAAAACTTGGACAATTTTGCTCATGGTCATGGGTCATGCATGTAATGGGCTAATGGTAGACATGAATGTGAATTAGAAGCTGAATAGTCAATACAAACCTCACAGATACTATATTGCTCCAGCATCTTTTGCAATCTATCCATTCTGTCAATGTCTCCGGTGAGCTGCATATGCCAACAAGGTTATTGCTCACTAATCATGGCACCAAGGAAACATTATTGATTAAAGAAATCGGCACAAGTATGAATGCATATTAATCAAAAACAAAGGGGAAAGAAATCATTGGCCGAGCCAAAAAAAAACTACAAATTTTGAACCAGTCTTCTACAATGGACAGTTACTAAAAGTTTTAGCAGCTGACCTTATTTTACCTGTTAACATAAATATACTATGTTACTTCATGGCAGGATCATAACGGCGTGATGAAATCAAAGATGAACCATATGGTGTTTCTGCTATCCCAAGGATTTTATATAAGTAGATTAAATTGTAAGAGCATCTCCAAGAGTACCCTATTTCCTTTTCCAATCCTTAGTTTTTAGCAAGATGAGAAAAAAACCCTCACCAACAACTCCTGTTGGGGGCGTGCACCGCCTATGGGCATCCTATGTGGCTCTATCACCGTCCCGGTTTGGCTCCAGCGCACTCAGCAGCTGTCTGTGATGAGAAGGATGCGTCGAGCCCCCCTTCTCGCCTCGGCGAAGTAACGGCGGCGCTTGCTGTCCCGTCATTAGACACCCCTTTTCACTATGGCGAAAAGGTAGATCCTGCAGTCAGGACCAGGCCGGGCCTAGCTCTTTCCCTTTTGCCCTAGCGGTGGGACTCGCTGATGACCCCGGCTATTCGCCCAGGCGAATGGCCGTTGAAAGTTTGGCTGCTTGTATGACGGCGCTCGCCGTCCTGTCCTCAGAAACCCCTTTTCGCTATGGCGAAAAGGTTGACTCGGCGGCCGAGATCAGTCCGGGCCTAGCTCTTTCCCTTTCGCAATAGTGATAGGCTCGCTGGTGAGCCCGGCTATTCATTTTTGGCGAATAGCTGTTGATAATTTGGTTGCTTGTTTATGTACGTTCTGTCGTGCGATAAGCCAGCTGTCCTCACATGGCCGACAACATGTTACTGCCCGGGGACCATCTAGTCGGTCGGGCAGGCGACACAAGGCGAGGCTGGTCGGGTCTCCCCGGGCCGGTGCTACCTAAGGCAGGCAAGGGCTCCGCATGGCGAACAAGCCCCATGGCAACAGGGAATATCCTCCGGACAGGTGGTAGTTGTAGGGGTATTTTGGTCCCGTAGAAAGCCTACGGGCCTATATAAATAGCCCCCGTGCGGGGAATGTAGGGGGGGGGAACAAGTTCAATAAAATCGTTCACCTTGTTTCGCCAAGTTTCGTGTTACCCACTTCTCATGCTTGATTTCGCTTGAACAGCAACCGTTGTTCAAAGGCCTTGCCTCAAACAACATTGGCGCCCACCGTGGTTGTTGCTTGAGCTTATCATGGCACCAAAGAAGCACAAGACGGATAAAGCAGGAACATCAGCGGCTGTAACCGTTGCGGCGGCAGCGGAAGCAGCCGCGCGAGATGATGCAGCAGCAGCTACGGAACCACCTGCGCCACAGTCGTAGACGGACAGTACCGCAGTGCACGGAGGGCGAGAGCAAATGCCGGAAGACAATGCCCAAGAAGTCAAAATCGACCAAAACGGTGATAAGGTCGAAGAAGATGAAGATGGCGAAATCACCGAGCAAGCAAGAAATCTGAAGACGCTGAATCAGTACCAGCAAGACATCCTTAGACTCCAGAATAAGAAGGAGCAGCTGCTCAGGCAGGCCGTTGCCCGTAATAGAGCCGAACAGACACAGAGGGCAATCTAGGAAACCAAAATCCAAAGGGACAGATTGGAGCGAGTGGTTCAAGGACTGTAGGGAGCAGGAATAGGAGGTGCCATTCGTGCTGGCGGAAACATTGTAATACCATATGATAACCTCCCGGAAGTAGACAAAAATGCATATGACCTCACTTCACCTTTGTCGAAAGAACTTCAACTATATCCATGGCTTGCCGGCTATAGGCCTCGCATTACAGTTTTCAACGGAAAATCAAACCCGAGGAAGTTCCTCGTGAGTTATGAGATCACGGTGGCTTCAGCCGGGGAAGACGCCCAAATCCTCGCAAAGTCACTCATCATGGCGGTCGACATGATTGGTATACTTCGTTGAAGCCCTTATCCATCAGGTCCTGGGGCCAAGTCAGAGCGGAGCTAGTGTCCACCTTCCAAGGATATCACCCGGGAACGAAAACAATGAGAGATTTGCTAAACTGCATTCAACGAGATGACGAATCCCTATTTGAGTTTTTGGAAAGATTCATTCAGACCAAAGCTCAGGTGCCAAATGCACCAGAGGTGACGGTTATAGCAGCAGCCATAGAAGGGTTGGCCATAGGCTAGTGTGCAGCTCACTTCGCCAAGAATTACCCTACCTCCATAAGGGAGCTGTTCGAGGTAACGAGGCAACACGCAAGATCAGATGATGACTTAAAGAAGCGAAAGGCGACAAGGAATTCATGGAGGCAAGCAAGCAAGGCCCCAGGCCACCTCCAACCTCGGGCCAGCGAAATATGAGACCATTCCACGCAATCAATAATCTACAAGAGCAGCCAGAGCACAACTCCAGTAGAACCAAGTCTCCAAGGGCCGTCGCCTAACCAACAATACAAAAGTTCTAATTAGTCTCCGTGTGGCGGGCGAGGAGGACGAACCCCCCACGGCGGACGTGAAGGCAGAGGAAAGGGACGAGCCCCCAGAACACCCTATTGTGCCGTTTGTCGCGAAAACGCAGGATATTTCACGAAAGACTGCAAATACAACAAAATGGCCAGAGAACTCAAGGAGCAAGACGAGGCCGCAAGAAACAGTGAAACATCTAATCACGTGTTCCACAACACTGCTCATGAAATAGTAAACAACCAGGGTTGTAGCAGCCACTATTCACCAGCAAACGACAGTGCTTTCCAGCACCCTACCTTTTCACACGGATACAACCAGCATTCGTACATCTGTCACCAGCCACCGTTTCCACTATACCAGCATTTCACCCAGCTCCCAGGGCAGTCGACAATTGCATCATCGCCAGTTCAACAAGAGCAGCAGCATTCAAATCAGCCTTAGCCCGCAAAGCAAGAAAATACTCAAGAACATCAAGCCGTAAACAATATCTTGCCATCGCAAGGCCATATATTCACAATCACTGGTGGATCAAACCAAGAGCACGAAAACAAGAGAGCCAGAAGAGAATTTGAAAGAAGAGTGCACACCATCTCGCCAAGGGTACCGCTCAACAGGCCAGCTTGGTCCATGGTGCCCATCACTTTTGACAAAAATGACTTTCAAGTGCGGGATTTTCCACATACAGACGCTTTTGTAGCAACATCGAATATAGCTGCGTTCACTATACACAACATCCTCATTGACAATGGGAGCTCCGCCGACATCTTATTTATCAAGCCTTTCGAGCAGATGAACCTTGACAAGCGAACGTTGGAACCAGCCGGGAACTCGTTGTTCGGTTTTGGCGGGAAAAAGATAGACGCCTTGAGAAAGAAGGCAATCTCGGTCTCTGTCGTAGAAGGCGAAAAGGTCCGCACAGAAACCATAACTTTCGACATAGTCAACATGGATTATCCGTATACTGCAATTTTCGGCAGAGGAGTTCTAAGTAGATTCGAAATCGTAATAAAGCAAAGCTACTTGTGCATGAAGATGCCATCCCCTTTCGGCATTATCGCAGTGCATGGAGATTAGGCTGCATCCAGGCAAATCGAGGGCAAAGCAACCACAGGCTACAACTTCATCAATGAAGTTTCCAAAAAATCACATAATGGAGAAGCAAACAGTGAAAGCAAAGTTGAACCAAGGGCAAAAGCAGTTGAAGACACTCAAAAGGCCCCATTGTTGAAACTGGTACCAAAAAAATGTGTGCACATGGGCTCTGACCTCGCAGAGGATGAGAAAGATAGACTGTTGGCTTTTATACACGAGAATCAGGACGTATTAGCCTAGTCAGTAAAAGACTTGCAAGGTGTCAGTCATGACCTCGCGCAGCACAACCTGAACGTGGCAAAAGTGGTGAAATCCAGGAAGCAAAAACTGAGGAAGATGTCCGTAGAGAGAGCGGAGGCAATGAAAGCAGAAGTGCAAAGATTACTTGACGCCGGCGTCATCAGGCCAGTTCAGTACCTAGAATGGCTGGCCAACATCGTAATGGTCAGAAAGAAGAACGGGAAATGCGAATGTGTGTTGACTTCACTGACCTGAAAGTGTTGCCTAAAAGACCCATATCCGCTCCTAAGAATTGAGAAGTTAGTTGATATCGCCACTGGGTGCGAAGTGATGAGTCTGTTAGACTGCTTCTCCGTGTATCACCAAATCTGGTTGAACTCGGACGACGAAGAGAAAACAAGTTTCATCACCCCAGGAGGAACTTATTGTTACCGGCGAATGCCTGAGGGACTGCGAAACGCATGACCTACTTTTTCTAGGATGGCAGACGGTGTTTTTGACAAACAGAAAGGCAAAAATCTCATCACGTTTGTCGATGACATCGTGGTCCAGAGCGATAAGAAGGAGACCCATATTCATGACCTTCAGGAAATATTTGAAAACTAAGAAAGGCTGGCCTTAGGCTGAACCTAGACAAATGCATATTCGACATCAAGAAAGGCAAACTGCTTGGTTGCATAGTATCGACAAGGGGCATCGAAGCAAATCCTAAAGAGATAGCAGTGATAGTAAACATGAAGCCGCCAGCAAGTAAGAAGCAGGTACAGAAGCTTACGGGAAGACTAGCAGCATTGAACAGATTCATCTCGAGATCAACCGAAAGGGGACTACCCTTTTTCAGAATACTTCAAAGCTCAAACCATTTTGAATGGGGGCATGAGCAGCAACATGCTTTTGACGAACTCAAACAATACTTAACTAAGCTTACAACATTGTCCAAGCCATCACCATCTGCAACATTGATGTTATATCTAGCTGCATCGCCAACAATCATCATTGCGGTACTGGTCGAAGAAAAGGAACATGAAAACAAGATGAAGTAGTTCCCAGTATATTTCGTATCAGAAGCCCTATCAGGAGCAAAGCTCAACTATTCCGAACTAGAAAAAATAGCATACACTGTGGTCATGGCATCAAGAAAGCTAAAACATTATTTCTGAGGCCATCGCATCAAAGTCCTTTCAGCGCAACTGCTAGAAGTGTTATTTCGCAATAGCGAAGCCATCGGTAGAATCAGAAAATGGGCCATGGAATTAAACAAATTCGTAGTTGATTTTGAGCACAGATCCGCCATCAAGTCTGAAGCACTCGTAGATTTCATCGCAAACTGGACCCAGCAGCTTACGACACAACAACACAATTTGAAGAACCAATTTGGACTGTGCACTACGATTGAGCATGGGGCATGAATGGTGCAGGAATAGCAGCAATTTTAACACCGCCGAAGGGACCGAAACTTCGCTATGCAGTAAGGCTGGAATTTCTCACAACCAACAATATAGTCGAATATGGAGTAGTGCTCCTCGGGCTGCGAAAACTCAGAGCCCTAGGAGTTAGGATATGCATAGTCAAATAAGATTCTCAAGTGATAGTGGGTAGGTCGAGAAAGAGTTTACTACAAGGGAACCTGAGCTGATCAAATACTTGGCCGCAGTAAGGAGAATGGAGAAACATTTCACAGGTTTCTCTCTTCACCACATCCCAAGAAACAAAAACGCTGAAGCCGATGAGCTAGCGAAAGCAGCTGCGTAGAAAGCACCAATGGTAGTAGACGTATTTTATCAAGAGCTGTCAGTCAAAGCCATACGAGAAGAGGAGGAGCATCCTCGCACGGTGCATACTATCGCAAGCAAAGATTGGAGATCACCTATATTTGCTTACCTCAATGGAACTTACGAGCCTCCGAGCAAGCACGAGACGGATAGAATGAACTCCAGAATGAAACAATACTCTACTAGCTGATAGCATCAGAAGATGCCAAGGACCTGGTCCGCGGTTGTGAAAACTACCAGATGTTCGCCAAGAAGCAGAGAGCACCAGCTAACCCGACAAAAGCAATCATCCCAACATGGGCATTGCAGAGATGGGGAGTCGACATTGTAGGACCACTGCTGACTGCACCTGGAAATTTGCATTTCGCTGCAGTAGCCTTGGATTATTTCACCAAGTGGATCAAAGCCAAAGCACTAGCGAAAATCACCTCAGGTACATTAATCAGTTTTTTATGGCAACAGATTATCTACCGCTTTGGACTTCCGTCATACATCACAGTCGACAATGGCAAGCAGTTCGATTGCGCAGAGTTTAGAAGTTTTTATAGAGAATTGGGGATCAAACTAGCATTCGCATCTGTCAATCACCCCGAGAGCAACGGAGCAGTCGAAAGGGCAAATGTTCTGATTTTTAGTGCAGTATCGAAAGCGCTATTCGATATGCCAAAGGGAAAATGGGCGCAGGAATTGGTTACATCAGTTTGGGGCCACAACATCTTGCACACCAGAACTACAGGGTTCACCCCATTTCGTCTCCTGTATGGCGAAGAATCCATCACACCAGAAGAGCTCAAGTTAGGATCTTTTGGCATGGAAATCGCAGCAACCACTCCAATACAATGGTATGTGGAGCTTGAAGCAACAGAAAATGCCAGGTTGCAAGTTGCATCAAACCTCGACAAATATCATCAAGAAACGAAGACCTAGAGAGACAAGAAAGTATTGCGAAAGAACATCAACCCATGGGACATGGTGCTAATTCGCCATCCCGACAAGCAGGGCGAGCTACAGTCACAGTGGTACGGACCTTTCGTAGTGGCGAACATGGTCAAACTAGGAGTTTATAAGTTGCTCAACGAAGAAGGATTCGAAACAAACCACACCTGGAACGCAGACAATCTGCGATGCTTCTACCCATAACATCTTCGCCCTTCAAGGGTTGTAATCTTTTCTTTCCTTCTCAGTTGTGCAAACATTAGACAAGCATTCGCGCTCTTTTTCCTCATGGGGGAAGCCTTTGCGAGGCGATCCTATCTACCTTTTTTTAAATTAAGTCAACTTTTCCCCACATAAGGTCTAAAAAGCAAGACGTCGAAACAAAACCTGATCTTGGCAGGTCATGAATATCGATGATGGCCGGTAACAATACAGGTTGCACCATTTCGTGCTCGTGCAAAACATCACGACCGGAGACATTGCAACCCAAAGCAAGCCTACAGGCTAAAACAACCTCTCGCTTCACCAAAAAGGAGTGAGCTAAAGGAAAAAAGGCCAACAAGCCTTAACAGCGCTATGCCACACCAAAAAGGAGTGTGAGCAAGAGCAAAAAGCTGAATAGGCTATAAAATAGTCTGCACCAACAGAAAGGAGTGGTGGCGGGCAGGAAAGACTCAAAAGCCACAAAATTGCATATAGCGCAAATTCAACTCTCAAGCGAGCTCCAATAACTCAATGTACGAAAGGGGGCAGAAGCATTAACCCAGCAGAAGCTTAATAAGCAACCTACCACACCAATCCAAATTTAAGACCCCACTGGGCAACCGACATTATATAAGTAGGCAGGGGCCGCCTCCTCGAGCTATCAGCCGGCGGGCAAAATAGAAAGAGTAGGCATTCTAATCCAAGAACAAGAGAGTCGGGCACCTAAGAGGAGAGCCTTTGCGCATTTCGCGCAATGGTGAAGCCCTTTAGCCATATAAGGGCATCAGGCAGCAATGTATTCGCCACACCCAAAAAGAGGGAAGTGCAGAATAACAAACTAAAAATGCACAAGGAGAGAGGTTGTAAAGCCAAAGGCGTCAACAACCTAGGAATAGGAAGCATCAGGATTTTGCAGCACACCAGGGTCGCGGTTCCGGCCACAGACTAGAAATGGCTAGCCACACAAGCCACCGATGGGGGGATACCACAAGAAAACTCATAACATTCCCCCATCGGGCGGAGCCGTGGCCAAAACACCCACAGTGTTGGCTACTTTTCGGGGTGCAGCTGCACTAAGAGTGAAAGTGTTAAAAACACTTCAGCTTCTTAGAATCGCCATCTTCCTCCGTCTCCGATGGTCGTCGACGGGGCGAGCTAGTGCCACTCAGGGCAATTCAGCTAATTCACCCCATTGTTTGCAACTTTCCAGCCCTGAATGGTGAGAGTAAACATCCAGCCGACAATCATCAACGGGGCACGCTCGTACCACTCCGGGCAACTTAGCTAATTCACCCTTTCGCTTCCAACATTCCAGCGTTATGCCAAGAGTAGACATTCAGACGGAGAGGAAGGCAACGCAAACTAGTGCAACCAAGAAAGCACATGAGAACATTAGTGAGCAATGTAATCTTGGCGAAGGAAGCCTGGTCCAATGCCGCCATTAACAATAAAATGAAAAATTGGCAAGCAAAGCATTTTGTGCATGCATCGTTTGGGAGTGGCGTTTCTTTCTTCACCTAAACTAGGGCCAAGGGGCAGGCAAACGAGTCCACCCGAGCGCACAACTTTTCATCTTTCCCCTCGCCTTAAAAGGTTGGGGGATGGCGTCTTTCTTTTGCCTATGCGATACACCGAGGGGCTAGCAAAGGAGCCATTCTTGCGGTATCGCTCCGTTCCATTCCCTTGCCTTAAAAGGTTGGGGGGACGACGTCTTTCTTTCGCCTATGCGATACGCTGAGGGGCTAGCAAAGGAGCCATTCTCACGGTATCGCTCCATTCCATCCCCTCACCTTAAAAGGTTGGGGGGACGACGTCTTTCTTTAGCCTATG